ACTTGCTGCTAGACACCATACATCGCCTCCCCAACTACATCCTGCTTTCACTACTTTTCTTAATAGCATCAGTAGGTCTCAGTCTCTGATAGCTTCTTTGGATTCTCCCCCATGTGACAGTTAGTTTTAATTGTTAATTCGACACAATCTAGAATTACCTGGGTAGGGAATCTCAGAGGGACTATCTAATTTAGATTAGCAAGAGACTATGTCTGAAGGAGTTGTCTTGACTCTTTTTATTGAGACAAAAAGAAGTTCTCCCTATGAGTGGAGCCATTCTCTGGGTAGTGGGTGCTGGATTGTATCAAGGCAAAAAGAGCAAGCTCAGCACTAGCATCCACTTACTCAGTGTTCTCTACGTCTTCGTCATGAGTGCAGCATGGCCAGTTGTCTTGAGCTCCTGCCACTGTGACTTCACTGCAGTGATGGACTGTTATGAAACTGTGGGCTATAATGAACCTTTTCCTCCCTACATTGCTTTTCTCAGGTTATCTTAGCACAGCAATAGGAAACTGGCAAGCATATATCCTACCACAAGTAACTTTATGAAACCAGACATAATTATGTAATTATATTATTTCTGCTTCTGTTACTTACTATACCTTTTTAGTATTTATACTACTGCCATTTCTGACCTCACCTCACTACATGACTGTAGTAGGCATTCAACTCATCTCTCTTCATCTTCTGTTTCAAGTACAGGTCAGTGATTAGAGGACCAATGCTGTCAAATTCATTTATTTATTTTGTTTTGTTATTTGTTTCTTGAAACATGTTAAATTAGTCCAATCTAGTCTCAAGTTTATCATCTTCCTGCTTCAACCTTCTCTTGAGTACTAAGATTACAGTGGTATGCTACTACACACATGTAAGGTAAATCCTTAGAACCAATGTTGGCTACTTTTTTGTTAAGGATCAAATATATGTCAGGTTTTGCAGGCATTCCCTGAGGCCCCTTGTAGCTATTCACATCTGCACTGCAGTATAGAATCTGCAGACAAAAATCGACAAATGACTTTCGCTATGGTCCAATAACAGTGTTGATTAAAAAGGCAGAAGCCAGCTTTCAGACTTGGAATTTTTTGTTTGTTTGTTTTTGCTTATTTTTGTTGTTTTAATTTGATTTCCCTATCTATCTATCTATCTATCTATCTATCTATCTATCTATCTATCTATCTATCTATCTATCTTTATCTCTATCTCTCACTCACATACATGTGTGTGTTTATGTGTGTGTGTATACTACAGAGTCTGGTTTTTCCACAAATTTTTTACATGGTGACCTAAACTCATGTCCTCATGTTTTCAGGGCAGGTATTTTGCTCAATGATCCATTTCTCAAACCCTGTTTTGATTTTTTTTCACTATTGAGTGTTGCTGTGTAAATATAGCTGGTCTATCTAGTATTGGCTATATAGTCCAGGATGGACTTGGACACATGGGGACCCTCTTGTCTCTGTGTCTGGGTTTCTGGGATTATAGACATGAACCAAAAAGCCCAACTCAATTATGTTTTAAAATAAACCTCTTAACATTACTCTAGAACTGCTCCCCATGTCTTCCAGATGCTGGTTTTCGTCAACAATGAAACCACTTCAATATCACTTTTCACTTACAGCTTAAACACATTTCTTCTGGATCTGTCTGTGCCCTGACTGTACTTTCCAGATTCTTGCCTCCGTAAGTACTTTCTGTCTTCTATACATGTCCAGTTTGGGTGTTTCTGCTGTTAAAGTTGACTGATGTTTCAGGTCTGTCTCTAACATCAGCTCTACCTCACCAAGTTCCTCTTCACAGCAGAGCCTGTCTCCAGAGTCAGAGAGAAGAATTCTCTCTGATGACACTGAGATTTTTCTAGTAGAACTCATTATTGAAGATACTTGTCACTGTGACTGAGATTCTACCACCTTCTTTTTTCTTTTTTTTTTTTTTGGTTCAACCCTCACCATTTTACCCATTGAAAAGCTGGGTGACTTCATCCTCTTGAGTCTGGATAAACACTGTGATTATTCTCATCACAAGGTACAGCAAAAGCAAGTCTGTGTCAGTGCCCAACCTCAGACATACAGCATTTGCATCTTCCACTCTAGCCTCTTATGAAGGAGCTTTCTCAGAGGCCTAGTATTGGAAAAATGAAACTTTCTCGGATCCATCTGTCTCACCCAAGATGCAAGATGTTGGTGCACAAGTTAAGATCATTATCCCAGCATCCCATGCTCAACAAAGAACCAGCTATATTTATAAAGTAAATTTATCTCATATTGAAATACTTTCTTTACCTGCATAATCATGAGATAAAAAAATATTGTTTCAAAATGCTACAGGCCTTGGGACTAATCCATAACATGATGGTAAATGAGTAAAACACGTATTTTTTGGTGAGCAGACTGTCCACCTTAAGTCTTTCCTTCGCCAAGGTGGTGTTCCAGTTCAGATTTGTTTCAGTTACTATTTTTTTTTTGATACAACAAAATACTAGACAACAGCGACTTCAGGAAGGAAGGTTTTATTTGAGCCAAGTTTTTCCTTTATATTCAGTCTAAACCCCAAACTACGGAATGGTGTTCCTCACAGTTAGGGTGAGTCCTCCCACCTCTTTTACGCCAAGGTAGAAATTTGCTCACAGGTCTCCCTAAAGGGATACCTGCGGATATCTAAACGATACTCAATCACGGCCATTTGACAATCCATATTAACTACCACAGAATCTACTTTTCTGTTGTTCTTCCTTTTACACTTATATTAATACATCTTTACACTCTGCCCTTACTTCCCACAAGGATCCCTAATTTTTATTTCAGATTCTATATCAGATCTCCTGTGAAGCCTTTTTAAAATTGTTTGCAGTGACCATTCAATGATTCTTGAAGGTCTCCAAATACATAGCTCTTCTTCTCAGTGGGTGGCTTATTTTGAGAACTGCCTATTGGTGCACCTACCTTATCTAATAAACTGTGATTTCTCAGAGGCAGAAACTATTCTTTACTCATCTGTGCATGTCTAATATTGGTATGTTTGCTGACAATTAATAGTTACTAAAAAAACTCATTATTAGATGATTAAATATGACAGGTGAGATTTTTACTTTGATGATTGACAAATTAGATTTAAGTTATTGCAAGAAAGATGATAATTAATTGATAAACAGAATCAAAACTTTCTCATTCCTTACCTTTAAAAAAGGTAAGTTCAGATAATTCTCTACATACGTCATAAAACAGAGAAGGAAATGAGGCTGGATTTTCCAGTGCTAGTAAGTGAATCCTAACTTCCAGAGATGTAAGATAGCAAAGGTGTGCCTCTCACTCAGGCCCATCCTTAGCAGATTTGGCAGCATCCCTGGGGCCTTTCCTGCAGGTGATTCCACTCAAGCCTCTGTCCTACAGCCCTCCTACTGCTGAAGCACTTTCCTTCTCGGCAAAGAGGAGGGAGGGAGTATGTAGAATGTGCACACGCTGAATTCCTGGTACAGAGAGATTTATCATTTCTCACATTCCAATGGGTAAGCACTTAATTGCATGGCTTCCACCCAGAAGCAAAAGACACTGGAAAACATAGTCTTCCTGTGCATCCAAAGTATTTCATTTCCAGTAGAGGACAGCTAATCACTGGGCTCCACATGGCTGCTTTTGTAAGATAGAACAAGGATTTTATGTGGCATTTGAATATATGTTTATACTACACTCTCAAACTCTACTTGCTAAATGTATGTGGAGATCCAAAGCATGACAACACTTTATTGTTTGCAAAGAATAGTCATGTGAGTTTTAATGGTTCAGGTTCTGTGGTGATACAGTGTGCTAGAGTCCAAATCCTACCATTTTCAGGATTTTTTTTTCCAGCTTAGGGTAAATAGCATAAATGCTCTAAATACTCTGTCTCCACATCTGGAAACTGGGGGAAAAGTATGATAATATCACCTTATAGTGTCTGGAGGAAGATAAAACAAGGACAATACTTGTGTACTCTCAAGAAAACTGTAAGATCTCAAATATAGTGGATTAATTCCTGGAAGGGTGTGCAACTTGTATCATTTTTGTAAATGAGTCTGAGAGTTTGGAGTCTGAGGGTCCAAGCGATTAAAGTAAAAGAAATGTTTTGCTTATTCTCCCAAACTGCCTCAGATCTGAAATGAAAATATCAATGATAAGCTTATATTTTCTAGCTTCTGATGATGTATATGCTGATTCTCTTTCAAGGCCTTTGTGATTTCGAGGGAAGAATTTCTGTAGCACCACAGAGCCTGTCAGATGGATGAAAGGTAGATCTAAAGCTTTGTCACCTTTGAGGAATAGGTGTGTTCAGTGAGAGTTCTAGGGAAACTCTGTTGTACTAAATGCATGAAAAACTTTTGAGTGACTTGTGTATCAATGAAGTTGAGCTACTTTTGTCTTTTGTTTTCCCAGGATGAAACTCTAATGTGATGGTGATATGTTAATGAAACACAGACTAACAGGAAGTATGATTAGGAAAGAAAGGAAGTCAGGGAAAGCTGTTGAACAAAGTATGATATTTCAGTCCCTCAAATGTGGCCTTGGCTCAGTCCCACAAAGCAATCTTGGCAAGAGTGGAGGTTATGCTTGGTTTTAGTACCAGTGAAAGCGTTCTGGAGTAACTGTATTTTGCCACTTCCCATTGGCTCAGCCCAGGGGACAGGATGGCTTGCATTCCCATGGACAGTGTCTCATTATGCTGTTGTCATGTAGGAAGTTGGTATGAGGTCCTATGGGATCCTTCTCATTGATGTTGTTGGAACAAAGACATGCTGGAAGTGAAGAGACATTAAGGCAATGAAGAGGGGCTATGGCAACATCGGGAGAAAACGGAAACTGCCAGTGTTGTTCTTTCTGTGCTGACATCCCATTTCTGGGAAGAGTCAGGCCTAGCCTGGCCAGTGACGATGTAGGTCTCTCAATGCCAGCTTTGACTCTGGGTGTCAATCAGCAGATTCATTCTGCAGAATGATGTATAGCTATTGAATGTTTATATTAAAATTTACACCTGCCCCTAGAGGCACTGCAGGTGCGGCTGCTGTGTCACATGTGCCTCAGTAGTTGACAGAGAGGAGAGACGCTATGTCTACACTCAGTGGTCCGACCTATGAACACCGGAATGATTACTAGCCTAACATTCTCCAAAAAAGTAAACCTGAGGCAACCACCAGTCTGACTCCACATAGGCTTTGATGGACTCGCAGGACAGGGAGCAAACCAGAGACCAGAAGAACCCTGCCTGGGACTACAGGCCCTGGGCTGGAGTGAGGCTGAGACAGATGACCCTCTCAAGGGGCCATTTGGTTGAGACCAGCAAGGAGGGAGGCCAAGACAACCACTAGACCAGATGCCATGGGATCCTGACAGGGAGATACACTGAGGTGACCACCAGTCGGGCACCACAGACATGGGGGGCAGACCATACCTAAGATGACCCCTGCCCTGTGCCATAATTCATAAGCTGAGCACTATACTCCTGAGACAACTCTTGAGATGACCCCAGAAACTCAAAAACCATGGGCACTGCTAAGAGGAGCAAATGAGTAGTAGAGAAATAGAAGACAAAGGAAGACAGAAGAATGTGAACACAGTGAAGAGAGACAGAATTGAGAGGTAGTGAGAAACAGCTGGTGTTTCCCCTGAGACCTTGGTAGGGCAATGGTCTGTGCTACCACTCAGGGCTACGTCTAGGTCTGTGGCCCTGAAGCAGCAGGAGTCTGTTACCAATAAAGGGCAGGTGGGTATCGCTGGTCTGGACTGGCATCTGGAGACATGTTGATATCTGAGGGCTGTATAGAGCTGACCCCATCTTTCACCTGGGCATTTGTGGGAGAGCTGGTCCTGGGGTGTGACAACAGGAGAGCTGACTCCATTCCTAGCTAGCTGTAGTACTCTTGAGAGCAGGCTTGGCACACTGTGGGCGTTATAGGTGAGCATGTCTCAAGGGTATGAGCCTGGGCAATCTGGCCCTGCCACTCATCACCCATGAGGTAGCACAAAGAAGAGATATCCTCCTCCCCTCTCACCCCTCTTCATCTATGGCAGGTGGAAGACCTGTCCCTGGGGTCCTGAGAGCGGGAAAGCTGGTACTGCTCCTCGCCTGCTATAACACTGAGGAGAGCAGGCCCTGTACCTTACTTGGGCAGCACAGTAGAGTTGACCTTGATGGCAAGGGTACGTGGGAGCTAGCCTGAGGGTATGAGAATGGGAGAGCTGACCCTGTAACTTGTCTGCCTTGTGGCAGTGTGGGCAAAGGAGAGATGCCTTCCCCAGCCCTCTCACCTTGTCACCTCTGGCAGGCTGGAAAGCTGGTCTGGGGTCATGAAAGCAAGAGAACTGTCTCTTCCCCTCACCTGCTGCAACAGTCTGACAAGTGTACCCTGTACTTCACCTGTTTTACCAGCACAGTAGAGCTGGCCCTGGACATAGGGGTTTCAAGTGAGCTGGCCTCTAGGGCAGGACCTGTCTTTTGTCTGCTGAGTGCTAGCATAAATGAGGAAGAGACACCTTGCTCCCCTCCCTTGTCCTTCACCACCTGTCCCTCACCAGCAGCATCACCCTTAGCACAGGTCCTGACCTGACCCTGGTTGTGGGTGTTGCTCATAATCTAGCCTTGAGGGCATGAGAGCCAACTAATACATATCTCTCAGGCCCAGGTCCAGAGCTTTGGATCGTCTTACCCCAACAATGAACTTCAGGAGTGCATGAAGGAGCTGGTTTTATAGATAAAACTACTGAATCTCCATGACACAGGACAACAACAGGATATTCAAGATAAGCCCCAATGAGAATACAGTATTGATAGAGTAACAGAAGCCAAAAACGTCATGCCAGACCAAGGAGTCATTGAAATGAACATTTGCAAGCAAAGAGGTGTGGTCAGAAGGGTATACCATGGGACAAACTACAGCTTTCACGAAGAGATTTTTTTTTTTTCTCTGTTGGGAGACCGGGATGCAAGGGTGGAAGGTAGGTATGAGGAGAGGGAGAGATGAGTGAGATTGGAATGCATGATGTAAAATTCACAAAAAAACAACAAAACCTTTAAAACATTGTCTTCCAAGAAATTGTGGACTTATAAATCAGAGAAGAAGAGGTTACATCATCTCTGGTTATAAACAACATGAATTTACACATGGAAAAACCTAATGATGCTTTCAGAAACCTCTTAGACCTAAAAATGAACTCAATAAGATTATGAAGTCTACATTTCAATGCAAAAACAGTTTTCTTTACATTTTTAAATTTCATTTATTTGTGTATATATCTGTGTTCATTGGTGTGGGTGCGCTACGGGTGAGTGTGGGGCAGAGGCCAACTTGCAGGAATGATGTCTTTCCTTCTGCCATAGGGACCTGAGGGTTGAATTCAGGTAATCAGACTTGTCATTAAGCGTTTTTAGGCTCAGCTGCTTTACAATACAACAATATCATTTTTTGAGAAATAAGCGAATAAAGTAACCTTTTCAAAATACCCACCCAAAATTGTGACACACCGTAGTATAAAATTTCCCAGGGAAGGAAATGTTTTCTTTTCTGAAATTTACAATACACTGAGTTAAAAAAAAATGGATGGGATACAGAAAATAGAATAACATCTTTTACTTATAGATTAGAAGACCTAAAATTTTAAGTCTATGTTATATAAAGTGGTCAACATAATATGTAACAATCCTCTCAAAACACCCATCATGGTCTCTACAGAAATGGAAAAACATGTTCAACATTTATGTGGAGCCATGAAAGATCCCAAATAACCAAAGCACTCCTAAGCAAAAACCCCAAACTCAGTGATTATATTACCTGACTTTAGGACATACAGCAGCATAATAGAGGCCCAAATGCATATTAGCAGCCTAAAAACTGATACATGGACCAATGGAACAAGACAGAGAACTCAGAGATAAACTCACATATTTAAAAGCAATTGTATTGTAGGCAAAATCAGCAAGAGCCACATTGAACAAAGAGAATTTTTTTTCAAAATGGTGTTTTGCTAGATCCCACTGGAAATTTTCAGGACCAGGTAGCATAAGAGTGGTAGTCCATTTACATTTGCATATTTCTGATGATTAGTGAGGTTAATCATGTCTGTCTAATGGCTCTTTCCAATTTTATTTTCTTTCTCTCAATTGCCTTATATTTTTTGCCTATTTTTCTATTGGATGGCTTGTTATTTCCATAGCATTTTTATATCATTTAAAGCTTTTTAAGTATGATAGATATCATTTTCTGTGTTACAAATATTCACTCCCATTAAGTTGTTTTTTAATTTGTTTCCTTTCTAGTAACTTGGTTAAAAACATACTGCCCAAAGAAAATTAAATAACTAATCTCCAAAATACAGTGGTTTTTTTTGTTGTTGTTTTATTTCTTTTCTTTTCTTTTTTATTTTTTTTTGTATACAGATGTTCATGTACCATAAAAACTAAGTCTCTGAAAGAACTCTGAAAGGAGAAAGAAAGAAAGAAAGAAAGAAAGAAAGAAAGAAAGAAAGAAAGAAAGAAAGAAAGAGAGAGAGAGAGAGAGAGAGAAAGAAAGAAAGAAAGAAAGAAAGAAAGAAAGAAAGAAAGAAAGAAAGAAAGAAAGAGGAAGAAGGAAGGAAGGAAGGAAGGAAGGAAGGAAGGAAGGAAGGAAGGAAGGAAGGAAGGAAGGAAGGAAGGAAAAATAAGCTCAAATGGAACAAAGACCTAAAACTAAGACCTGAAAACTCACTATACTTCATAAACATAAAACTACCAGGTACCAATCACAAATTTAAAGTATACTAAAATAAAGCATTACACTAATGGAAAATGTCTCCTAAAACTATAACGCAGGACTACTGTTGAGTTACATTCTCTAGGTCTTCTCTATGGGATTCAGTACCTCTAGCTACACAAAGCTTTGGCTTCTTATCCCTGGTCTGCACCATTTTGGTTGCAGAATCTTGAACAAATTACCAAAAAACCCTTGTCCTTCAGTGACCTCTTCTTTAAAACAGAGCCAATGATGTTTGCCCATGGGATCTGATAAGGTTTACATCTCATAGATATCAGTGTCCACACAAATCTGTCTACTGTTGTTATTCTTACTGCATACGAGAAAATTTAAGGCAGAATGATAAACGTGTCTGTCAAGTTGCTCTAAAAGAAATGGAGGCCATCTCTGCCATATGACTCTTCATTTAGCACGTTGGTTCTCAACCTTCCTAAGGCTGTGACCATTTAATACCGTTCACCGTGTTATGGTGACCCAGACCATAAAATTATTTTCATTGCTACGTCATAACTGCAAATTTTCAACTGCTATGAATTGTAATGTAAATATCTGTGTTTTCTGATGGTCTTAGGTTACTTCTGTGAAAACAGCCTTAGACCCTCCCCCCCAAAGGGGTTGCAAACCTCAGGTTAAGAATCGCTGCTCTACCATAGTGTCTAACACATTATTTCCCATTGAAGATATTGTGACCAGTGCACAGCTGTCATCTCAACACTCTGAGTATGGAGGCAATTAAAAGTCCCTATCACTTCATTGTTATTCTTCAAGCATTCTACTTTTCTAGCAGTTTGACATTAAGATATCTGCTCTCTGTGTCTCATTTCTCTCTACTGCAAAGCATGAGCATTGGGATTTCTGGCCATAGAGTGCCTCTAAGCTCTAACTACCAAGGTACCAGGAGACAGAGAGGAGAAATGCATTCTGGGCTCAGCAGTCTTCACTGCAACATAGTAATGGTGTACCATGGGCTTGTCTTGTTGCTGGCAATCAGACATAGCCTTGCTACAGGTTTGATGCTCTTCTCTCTAGTTTGTGCTTGGAAATGGATCTTATTTGTTTCTTTTGAAGGCCTTTTTCAACCATAAGACCTAGGTTTTGGTGATTGGTAACTAAGTTATAATTGTTATAATTCTAATGAAGGTTAGAGTACAGGGACTGAGCATGTGAGTGAAAAAGGAAAAGCAACCAAAGTAAAGTGGACTACCATGCAGCAAACCTCTCTTCCTAGGAGCTCCTGAAGGTTACAATGCCACCATTGAATGGCTCTTTGAAATACTTCACTAAATTACTCTGTTGGGTACCCCTTATTAAGCAGTCTGCTTCTAAAAGTTCTTTATTCTGCAGACTGGCAAAGCCTCACCATTTCATTATTCAGGGGGC